CATTTTAAATGTTTTTAAGCATATTTGTGACCAGGTGTTCTGGTCAAAGTTAATAAGTCTGTCTGCCATTTCATAACAGGAAGTGATATTGAGTCTATTCTAGAGAGTTTCATTTAAGTTTTAGATAGTAATTTGGGAGATTTAAGAGAGAGAGGAACTCTAATACACTTGCTGGTTTTTCTAACAATATTTTATTAAGCTTAAATTTGTTTTTTATTATAGACTTAATTTGTTGATATTCTAAGAAATGTTTCTTATCAATACCATATTGTATTATTAATTTATTGAATGGAATAATGTCTTACACCTTCATATACAGTAGGTCTTCCAGGTATTCAATTCCTTTACCTCTCCAATCTGGCAAGTTTAACATATTATTTTGTTGCAGAATGCCAGGATTGTTCCAGATAGGTGTTTGTCTACATGGGATTAGTGAAGATTTTGTCATTTTCAGAAACTCCCACCAAGCTGTCAGCGATGAGCTGATATTGATGCTTTTTTTGTAAATTTTATTTTAAGTTTTCAAAGTTTAGAACATACAATTAAATGGACAAAACAAAGCCCAGATGCACAGGTCAAAGCATAAAACATTGCAGTTGACATATGTACCCACACAGTACAAACAGTATACATAGTCACATACAAGGGTACACATACACAGGAGGGCGACAGAGGGGAGTGACCATAGATGGGTTTGATCAGCTTAGTCTGGTCTTCGAAAAGTGTTCCAAGAAGGGAGTCCAGTAACATGAGAAAGTGTTTTTAGAGCCTTTCCGAAGTCTCTCCATCTGTATCATGGACATCATGTCCGTCACCCACAGGTGGAAGGAAGGAGGAACAGAGGACCTCCAGTTTCTTAGGATTAGTCTCTTTTGCAACAATCAGTCCCAGTTCTAGTGGCTGCTGCATTACAGCAGGTATAGTCCCCAGCACCCGAGGGCATCCAAAGATTATAAGTCCTGGTTCAGGTCGTAAGAGTCTTATATGCCTTGGAGTCTGATATTGATGCTTTTAAAGCAAACATGTCGCTTTATATTTGTGCTAATAAATGGAAGGTTTGAAATATTAATGTTATGGCATAATGTTTGTTCTGTATCTAACCAAGTTACATCTAGTGGGGTAGGATATAACCATTTGGAAATGTATTGAAGCCTATTAGCTAAGAAGTAGTAATAAAAATTTGGAAGCTCTAGCCCTCCTGTATCTTTAGTTTTCTGTAATGATTTTAGGCTAATGTGTGGGGTTTTATCTTTCCAAATGAATTTAGAGATAAAGGAGTCCAAGGACTTAAACCAGTCAGGAGAAGGTTTATTTGGTATCACTGAGAATAAATATTCTCAGTAGCACCATCATTTTAATCGAGGCAACTCTTCCCATAAGTGATATGGGTAAAGATTTCCATCTAATAAGATCTTCTTCAATTTTCTTTAAAAGTGGGATGTGATTTAATTTTATTAAGTCTTCCAGTTTAGGAGAAATGTCAATACCCAAATATTTACTATTACCTGACTGCAGTCTTGTATCAAGAAAATTATTGAAAACACAGTTAACAAGATGATTTAAACTAAACATTTGATTCCAGCAATAAAACTTCATTTTATTAAACATCTCTTTCAGTTTCTACTGTCCATCCTAACTCAGTCTCTTCTGCTCTATCCTGTAACGGTAGCGCCCTCTGGTGACGAGGACAAAATAACAGCAACCTAACAGAGCAACTAATACAGTCAAAAGTTTACATAAATGTTCTTAGTATTTGGTATCATTGCCTTTAGAATGAATGATTTGAGTTTAAGTTTTGGGTATCCTTCCACAAGTTTCTGTCAGTAGTTTGCTGGAATTTTGTCTCATTCTCCCTGACAAAACTGGTGGAAGTGACTCAGGTTTGTAGGTTGCTCTTTTAAGTTCAGTCCATTAACTTTGGCGTTCATACACACCTCATGAATGAACCAGAGTTGTGCAGATAAACAGTTTTCTTTCTGACATCGGGACTGATTTKTTTTGATTGTTCCTGGGGTGTCACACAAATAAACAATATTTAGAGTTGGCCATGAGTCCACAGGTGTGTCTGTAATCACTCCAGTGCTGTCAACAAACATATTAAAGTTTCTAGATCCATTGCATCATCATCATCATCATCTGGACTTTCCAAACTTGTCAAAAAGCAACAAAGTCTTCGTTTATTTGAAGTGTGTGTAAAGACAATCTATTTCCTCTTGTGTGGTTTCAACCTAGTAGTCATATGAGTGCTTTGTTTTTAGTGTGGATTCTCATGTGTTTGTTTAAATTGCACTTTTGGGTAAACTTTAGATCACACAGTTCACAACAAAATGGCTTCTGTCCTGTGTGGATTCTCATGTGTGTGTTTAAACTGCCCTTTTCAGTAAACCTTCGGTCACACAGCTCACAACAAAAAGGTTTCTGTCCTGTGTGGATTCTCATGTGCGTGTTTAAATTGCTCTTTGTGGTAAACATTCGATCACACATCTCACAACAAAATGGCTTCTGTCCTGTGTGGATTCTCATGTGTTTGTTTAAACCACATTTTGTGGTAAACCTTCGATCACACAGCTCACAACAAAATGGCTTCTGTCCTGTGTGGATTCTCATGTGTCTGTTTAAAACACTCTTTGTGGTAAACCTTCGATCACACAGCTCACAACTAAATGGCTTCTGTCCTGTGTGGAATCTCATGTGTGAGTTTAAATGGCTCTTTGTGGTAAAACTTCGATCACACAGTTCACAACTAAATGGCCTCTGTCCTGTGTGGATTCTCATGTGTTTGTTTAAACTGCCCTTTTCAGTAAACCTTCGATCACACAATTCACAACTAAATGGTTTCTTTCCTGTGTGGATTCTCATGTGAGAGTTTAAATTGCCCTTCTGGGTAAACCTTTGATCACACAGCTCACAACTAAATGGTTTCTGTCCAGTGTGGATTCTCATGTGTGTGTCTAAATTGCCCTTTTCAGTAAACCTTCKATCACACAGCTCACAACTAAATGGTTCCTGTCCTGTGTGGATTCTCATGTGTTTGTTTAAATTGCTCTTTGTGGTAAACCTTCGCCCACACAGCTTACAACACAACAACTTCTGTTCATTGCTGTTGTTTTTAACACCTGATTCAGGAACCCTGCTGGGAGAAGACTCACAGTCTTTATCAGGTTTTGACCCGGAGTCTACAAAATGTTTCAGSTGAGAGTCAGGATTGTTCACATCATTATCCTCTTCATAATCCTCACTGACTTCAGTTTCTGAAGAGTCAGAATCCTGAGCTGAGCTGCTGGTTGGAAGATCTCTGACTTCAACTTGGTGTTGATGAAGCTGTAAGAATAGAGGTTTATCTTCATCATCCTCGTGCTTCAAAGGAACTGTAGTGAACGTAAAGTTGGTAGAATCAGTCTCCTGCTTCACATTGAGCTGCTCTGCTCCCAGACCGCTCCACAGTTCCTCCTCTTCCTCTTTTATGTGGTGGTGTTCTTGGTCCTGCTGGTCCTCATCATGCTTGTGTTCTTCAGGATCTTCTTTAATCAGCACCTGACCCCCTTCAGGAACCACTGAAACACATGAACAGGACAGTAAAGGAGAACTGTAGCTTTATATTTACACATACRTCTCTTGTTGGACTGCTCAGGTCACAATGGTGGTTTGTTTTAACCAAACAGGTTTCAGAGCTAAACTGGAGCCAGAGCTCACTTAGTACCAGCTCTTTTCTTTTCCTTTTCCAACAATGTAAGCTCTGGTTTTACAACAAATAACTCAAAACACAGTTTGGGTTTGTCTAACGTTTCCAGTGTTAGATCTGTTAAGACAAATGTTTTGAACATTTATTAGTTTCAAATGTTTATTTCATACTTACTCTAATATTTATGTGCTTGAACATTAGTAGAACGAATTAGCAATTGTTTGGTAGTTTAAGTTGTACCTTAAGTTATTGAAGGCAAACAAGACAATATCTTTGTTGTTCCAATTGGTCCTGTCAAGAGACCCGACTGCTCCAGTCATCACTAGGATTGGAATCAGACCTGCAGAGCCTACGCTTGACCCCCAGCAGAGGAGGGAGCGTGACATGAAAAGAAGCCACAAGAGGAATCGAGGTGAAGACTGAGAAGAAAAGAAAATGAGGCGACAAGGAGGAAATGAAATGATTTGAAGTTAATCAATTTTAATGCTGGCAAAGTAATACATATGTAACCTGAGTAATGACTATGCTTAATTGCAATGTAAGTGATTAACTAATGTACTATGATGATTATTGTGTTTTCAAATGTAAAATGGTGATGTAGGGAAGAAAGAATCACAGTGTGTTTTAAGATGAAGGAAGGTTGAGTGTGTGCTGTTATATTTTGGACGGTGAAGTACAGGGCACATTCCTGGGCTGATGGGAAACAGATGTGTGGGCTTTAACTCACCACAGAAAAAGTCCCTAGCAGTCCCTAGCAGAAAATCAGCAGAATTACCTCATTCTGGAAAGTACAGAAAAACACAAAGCGTCCCCACCTTTCCACAGAAAGGAAGGAGGGGGGCGAGCAGGCCCAGAAAGGGTATGAAAGACGAAGCAGTCCAGCAGTGAAGCGTCTTCGTCGCCATCGACCGGAGAAGGAGCAGCAAGCAGCAGGACATCGAGAGCAGAGGAGCAAGCAGATCCGAAGATCATCTCAGCTGGGGCAAGCTGACAGATTCCCCTCCGTCGAGTCTAAGGACCGAAGACCAGATTGAATCCAGCCCAACTCTGAGAAGCTCTCTTCAGGCAACAATCTGATGCACCTCATGGGGTAAATCAGACTGTTCCAACCTGTCCTGCCGTCTCAAAATTAACAGAAAATGCCACACCACCTAATTAGGAAGATAGGTCAGCACATTAGAGCATTTTATTTTTATCACCATCAATTATTAATCAATATTCTTAATCTGTATAACCGACTGTGGCTTTTCTTGCAAATTCCTTTTAAACTGCTTACAGCATCATAAAGACAAATTCATAACTGGACGTTGATTCTTAAAGTTGTCCATTAAAGTTTTTTCTCTGATTACTTGAGAGTTGTGTTGCTTTTAAGCAACAAGGTAATAGCATATTAAAAAGGTATGGTTGCTTTGAAGCCAAAAGGTAACAATATGAGGTCATAGATCAGTAATAGGTTCATTTTTAATGGTTATTAACCTGGGGAGATAGGATAACTCCCCTTCGACAGTTCCCTTGAGACCTATTGTACAGGTCACTAAATCTCATCTCAGCCACATCAAGAAGTGCACATCCTACGAGGGAGCGGCTGCCAGAGAAACGGTAATGATCGGCAAAGGGAGGCTTCCTGAGCTACTACGCCGACCCAGAGGCCGGGGTTCACGAAGGGAGCGACTACCGGAAGGAGGGTAGCTGGACGCCGAGCTCAAGGCTCCCGTCTGATGCCTCCCGGAGGAGACACGCCAGACTCAGCCACACAGGTCACCCCCAGTTGGCTGTAAGTTTGGTCCATCGTCTCCAGCCCAAGAGGGAGACATCGTCTCCTCTCCAAGACCCACCAGTGTCCGTGTGGGTAAACTGGGAGAGGAGCCACAAAGGATTTCAGTCCGAATAAAGTTTGTTAAAAAAATCTACTACTTTTTTTTCTCACTTTTTTTTTTATGCAATTGTAGTGAAAAATGTGTTCTTTACTGGGGTCTTTGGTCGCTGTTGTGATGTTCAGGAAAAATGACTGACATGCTTGAAGTTAGTAAAACAGTGAAATCTTTATTTCAAAATCAGACTGCATCAAATTTTGAGTCCTCTGGCCCAAAGGATGAGAAACTCCCTACTCATGGGGTCTGCACTCTTTTTAAAAGGCAAGTCACTGCTTGATTCAGACATTCCATACATGTATTTTGGGATGGCCGAGAATGCTTAAAATTAGGCCTTTTCCTTGTAAGGTATTGAAGATGATGCTGATCTATTTCAGCTGACATATGCACAGAAGTTTCAGGCCTTGTCACAGGTGTACAAACACATTTTTAGACTCCACACAATCCAAAAACTTCGGAGCCCGCCGGGGGTCAGTGGTGAAAAAAGAAAAATGGCCGCCAGTAATCCGTGTGCATGGATTACTAAATGAGCACACAGATTAGTAATCCGTGTGTANCATTCCAAGTCTCTGAAATTGGTTCTTCTGGGTCTCAGGAGGATAAAACTAGACATATTAGATATTTAAGTGAAATAATATAAGATAATAAGATTCAACTAATGATGAAATTGTAGACTTTTATGTGTTATTTAAAAAAAATATGCACAACCTTTTAATAAATATCAGTAATACTTCTGTTATTAATCAATATTATCTGGAGGGCGGGGCAAGATGGCGGAGGAGTGAGACGTATCGCGTGGCTCCCGCTACGACTTGTTCTGTTTGTGGTTCTATACCAAATGTCCTTGCTATTTTGAAAATTTGGTCCACACGAACTCGACCCCTGAGTGWTTCTTKCCTGGAAGAGTAGAAAAATGGCGACAAASTCGAGGAAAGCCAAACATTTTAGCTCGAYGGCTACTAGGCCTGACGGTGCTTTGGAGCAGACTGCAGCTAGGACCAGAGCTTCGGCGCCCTCCTCTCCCTCCCGCAGTGAGACGGACACACTCTCCTTGAAGTCTGACATTCTTGCCGCTATAAAAACCGACCTCTCAACTGTGATCAAATCCGAAATAAAAGCGGCTTTGGCTGAAGAGTTTACTCTTATAAAAGGGGAGCTGCAAGCGGTGAGAGCTAAAGTGGCAAACGGAACGATGCTACTGTGCGCAGATCTGGACCATGTGAAACAGAGCGTTAAGGAGGTGGAGGGCGGCCTATCAACCTGGTCCGACAAGGTTGTTGCTTTGCGCACCACCGTGTTAGAACTGAACGAAGAAGTCGTCGGGCTCAAAAAGAAGTGTGACGATATGGAAAGGMGCATGAGAAGGTGCAATGTGCGGATTATTGGAGTTCCTGAAACGCCAGAATCCAGYTCCACTTCAGCAGTGGCTAAACTGCTAGCAGAGGTTCTACAGATGGATAAAGAGCCACTGGTGGTCCGAGCCCATTGCTCTCCAGGTGGAAACAGGTCAGGCAGTAAGCCACGGGTTATTGTCGCTAAGCTTCACTATTATCAAGAATGTGTAGAAATACTGTGTCGAGCTCAGATTCGTGGTCCTCTTAGTTTTAAAGATTCACCGATTATCATCACATCTGACTACACGGCAGCTGTGGCCAGGGCTCGAGCGGCGTTTACGGAGGTGAGGAGGCTTCTTCGTAACCGACGTGATGTTCGCTATGGTCTGCTTTTTCCTGCACGGCTCCGCATCTATCATAGGGAGGAAAGCAAGGAGTTCCTGGATGCCAATAAAGCAATGGACGACGTTAAAAAGAGGATCATCTCGGCGACGGACAACGACGACCGGCGTTGACMGCATCGATCCATTATGATTGTCAGGTTGTAATGAACCTTCTATCTTTATGTCCCACGTCATACCTTGATTTAATKTTAGACATTATTCTCACGGACAATATTCCTCTTTTTGTTCTATGTACAAGAGTTTCAAAGGGGGTCTGTCCAGATTGTCAAAAGACCCGACCGCTCCAGTCGTCACTAGAATTGGAATCAGACCCGCCGAGCCTCAGCTTGACCCCCAGCAGAGGAG